AAGTACAATGTGAAGAAATTGAATTAGTATCTTCTTTACCAACAACAGATAATGAAACATGTATTGCACCTGCTTCCGAGGAAAATGTATTAAACGTTGAAGAACTACAGAACTCACCGGAGCTCACTGCATCTAAAACTGAACCACCAATAAACCAAATTGATATAACTGAAACAAATAACTCAGTGGAAGAAGAAAATCTTATTTGCTCAGAAGATGTTCCTGTAGTAACCTCTGAACCGACAATAATCTGTGAATCAAATAATGCAACAGAATCAAATGAATTAGTATCAGATACAGTTGTGGAAGTACAATGCGAGCAAGTTGAATTAGTATCTTCTTTAGCAACAACAGATAATAACACATGTACTGCACCTGCTTCCGAGGAAAATGTATTAAACGTTGAAGAACTACAGAACTCACCGGAGCTTACTGCATCTGAAACTGAACCACCAATAAACCAAATTGATATAACTGAAACGAATAACTCAGTGGAAGAAGAGAATCTTATTTGCTCAGAAGATGTACCTGTAGTAACCTCCGAATCGACAATATTATATGAAGAAAACAACACAATAGAATCAAATGAATTAGTATCAAATACAGTTGTGGAAGTACAATGCGAGCAAGTTGAATTAGTATCTTCTTTAGCAACAACAGATAATAACACATGTACCGCACCTGCTTCCGAGGAATTAAACGTTGAAGAACTACAGAATTCACCCGAGCTTACTGCATCTGAAACTAAACCACCAATAAACCAAATTCATATAACTGAAACAAATAACTTAGTGGAAGAAGAGAATCTTATTTGCTCAGAAGATGTACCTGTAGTAATCACTGAAGCGACAATAATATGTGAATCACATGAATTAGTACCAGATGCAGTTGCGAAAGTACAATGTGAAGAAATCGAATTGGTTTCTTCTTTAGCAACAACAGATAATGAAACATGTATTGCACCTGCTTCCGAGGAAAATGTATCAAACGTTGAAGAACTCCAGAACTCACCGGAGCTTATTGCATCTGAAACTGAACCACCAATAAATCAAATTGATATAGGTGACGCAAACTACTCAAGGGAGGAAGAAAATCTTATTTGCTCAGAAGATGTACCTGTAGTAACCTCAGAACCGACAATAATCTGTGAATCAAATAATGCAATAGAATCAAATGAATTAGTATCAGATACAGTTGTGGAAACACAATGCGAGCAAGTCGATTTAGTTTCTTCTGAAGCAACAACAGATAATAACACATGTACTGTACCTGCTTCCGAGGAAAATGTATTAAACGTTGAAGAACTAGAGAGTTCACCGGAGCTCACTGCATCTGAAACTGAACCACCAATAAACCAAATTCATATAACTGAAACAAATAACTCAGTGGAAGAGGAGAATCTCATTTGCTCAGAAGATGTACCTGTAGTAACCTCAGAATCGACAATAATCTGTGAATCAAATAATGCAATAGAATCAAATGAATTAATACCAGATACAGTTGTGGAAGTACAATGCGAGCAAGTCGAATTAATATCTTCTTTAACAACAACAGATAATGAAACATGTACTGCACCTGCTTCCGAGGAAAATGTATTAAACGTTGAAGAACTAGAGAGTTCACCGGAGCTCACTGCATCTGAAACTGAACCATCAACAAACCAAATTCATATAACTGAAACAAATAACTCAGTGGAAGAAGAGAATCTTATTTGCTCAGAAGATGTACCTGCAGTAACCTCTGAAGCGACAATAATATGTGAATCAAATGAATTAATACCAGATACAGTTCCGGAAGTAAAAAGCAAGAAAGTCGAATTAGTATCTTCTTCAGCAACAACAGATAATGAAACATGTACTGCAATTGCTTCCGAGGAAATTGTATCAAACGTTGAAGATCTACAGAATTCACCGGAACACAGTGTAACTGAATCTGAACTACAAACAAACCAAATTGACATAGCTGAAACGAATAACTCAGTGGAAGAAGAGAAACTAATTTGCTCAGAAGATGTACCTGTAGTAACCTCAGAACCGACAATAATCTGTGAATCAAATAATGCAATAGAATCAAATGAATTAATACCAGATACAGTTGTGGAAGTACAATGCGAGCAAGTCGAATTAGTATCTTCTTTAGCAATAACAGATAATGAAACATGTACTCCACCTGCTGCCGAGGAAAATGTATTAAACGTTGAGGAACTAGAGAGTTCACCGGAGCTCAATGCATCTGAAACTGAACCATCAACAAACCAAATTCATATAACTGAAACGAATAACTCAGTGGAACAAGAGAATCTTATTTGTTCAGAAGATGTACCTGTAGTAACCTCAGAACCGACAATAATCTGTGAATCAAATGAATTACTTACAGATACAGTTGTGGAAGTACAATGTGAAGAAATTGGATTAGTATCTTCTTTAGCAACAACAGATAATGAAACATCTATCGCACTTGCTACCGAGGAAAATGTATCTAATGTTGAAGATCTACAGAATTCACCGGAGCTCACTGCATCTGAAACTGAACCACCAATAAATCAAATTGATATAGGTGACGCAAACTACTCAAGGGACGAAGAAAATCCTATTTGCTCAGAAGATGTACCTGTAGTAACCTCAGAACCGACAATAATCTGTGAATCAAATGAATTAGTACCAGATACAGTTGTGAAAGTACAATGTGAAGAAATTGGATTAGTATCTTCTTTAGCAACAACAGATAATGAAACATCTATCGCACTTGCTACCGAGGAAAATGTATCTAATGTTGAAGATCTACAGAATTCACCGGAGCTCACTGCATCTGAAACTGAACCACCAATAAATCAAATTGATATAGGTGACGCAAACTACTCAAGGGACGAAGAAAATCTTATTTGCTCAGAAGATGTACCTGTAGTAACCTCAGAACCGACAATAATCTGTGAATCAAATAATGCAATAGAATCAAATGAATTAATACCAGATACAGTTGTGGAAGTACAATGCGAGCAAGTCGAATTAGTATCTTCTTTAGCAACAACAGATAATGAAACATGTACTCCACCTGCTTTCGAGGAAAATGTATTAAACGTTGAAGAACTAGAGAGTTCACCGGAGCTCACTGCATCTGAAACTGAACCATCAACAAACCAAATTCATATAACTGAAACGAATAACTCAGTGGAAGAAGAGAATCTTATTTGCTCAGAAGATGTACCTGTAGTAACCTCCGAAGCGACAATATTATGTGAAGAAAACAACACAATAGAATCAAATGAATTAGTATCAGATACGGTTGCAGAAGTACTATCTGAAGAAGTCGAATTAATTTCTTCCTTAGCAATAACAGATAATGAAACATGTATTGCACCTCCTTCCGAGGAAAATATATCAAACGTTGAAGAACCACAAAATTTACCGGAGCTCACTGCATCTGAAACTAAACCATCAATAAACCAAATTGATATAACTCAAACAAATAACTCAGTGGAAGAAGAGAATCTTATTTGCTCAGAAGATGTACCTGCAGTAACCTCAGAACCGACAATAATCTGTGAATCAAATAATGCAATAGAATCAAATGAATTAATACCAGATACAGTTGTGGAAGTACAATGTGAAGAAATCGAATTAGTTTCTTCTGAAGCAACAACAGATAATGAAACATGTATTGCACCTGCTTCCGAAGAAAATGTATCAAATGCTGAAGATCTACAGAATTCACCAGAGCTCACTGCATCTGAAACTGAACCACCAATAAACCAAATTGATATAGGTGACGCAAACTACTCAAGGGAGGAAGAAAATCTTATTTGCTCAGAAGATGTACCTGTAGTAACCTCAGAACCGACAATAATCTGTGAATCAAATAATGTAACAGAATCAAATGAATTAGTATCAGATACAGTTGTGGAAGTACAATGTGAAGAAATCGAATTAGTTTCTTCTGAAGCAACAACAGATAATGAAACATGTATTGAACCTGTTTCCGAGGAAAATGTATCAAACGTTGAAGAACCACAAAATTTACCGGAACTCACTGCATCTGAAACTAAACCATCAATAAACCAAATTGATATAGCTGAAACAAATAACTTAGTGGAAGAAGAAAATCTTATTTGCTCAGAAGATGCACCTGTAGTAACTTCCGACCCGACAATAATCTGTGAAGAAAACAACACAGCAGAATTAAATGAATTAGTATCAGATACAGTTGTGGAAGTACAATGTGAAGAAATCGAATTAGTTTCTTCTGAAGCAACAACAGATAATGAAACATGTATTGAACCTGTTTCCGAGGAAAATGTATCAAACGTTGAAGAACCACAAAATTTACCGGAACTCACTGCATCTGAAACTGAACCATCAACAAACCAAATTCATATAACTAAAACGAATAACTCAGTGGAAGAAGAAAATCTTATTTGTTCAGAAGATGTACCTGTAGTAACCTCAGAACCGACAATAATCTGTGAATCAAATAATGCAATAGAATCATACGAATTAATACCCGATACAGTTGTGGAAGTACAATGCGAGCAAGTTGTATTAATATCTTCTTCAGCAACAACAGATAATGAAACATGTATTGAACCTGTTTCCAAGGAAAATGTATCAAACGTTGAAGAACCACAAAATTTACCGGAACTCACTGCATCTGAAACTAAACCATCAATAAACCAAATTGATATAGCTGAAACAAATAACTTAGTGGAAGAAGAAAATCTGATTTGCTCAGAAGATGTACCTGTAGTAACCTCAGAACCGACAATAATCTGTGAATCAAATAATGCAATAGAATCATACGAATTAATACCAGATACCGTTGTGGAAGTACAATGCGAGCAAGTTGTATTAATATCTTCTTCAGCAACAACAGATAATGAAACATGTATTGTACCTGCTTCCGATGAAAATGTATCTAATGCTGAAGATCTACAGAATTCACCGGAGCTCACTGCATCTGAAACTGAACCACCAATAAACCAAATTCAAATAACTGAAACGAATAACTTAGTGGAAGAAGAGAATCTTATTTGCTCAGAAGATGTACCTGCAGTAACCTCAGAACCGACAATAATCTGTGAATCAAATAATGCAATAGAATCAAATGAATTAATACCAGATACAGTTGTGGAAGTACAATGTGAAGAAATCGAATTAGTTTCTTCTGAAGCAACAACAAATAATGAAACATGTATTGTACCTGCTTCCGATGAAAATGTATCTAATGCTGAAGATCTACAGAATTCACCGGAGCTCACTGCATCTGAAACTGAACCACCAATAAACCAAATTCAAATAACTGAAACGAATAACTTAGTGGAAGAAGAAAATCTTATTTGCTCAGAAGATGTACCTGTAGTAACCTCAGAATCGACAATAATCTGTGGATCAAATAATGCAACAGAATCATATGAATTAGCACCAGATAGTGTTGTGGAAGTACAATGCGAGCAAGTTGAATTAATATCTTCTTCAGCAACAACAGATAATGAAACATGTGTTGCACCTCCTTCCGAAGAAAATGTATCTAATGCTGAAGATCTACAGAATTCACCGGAGCTCACTGCATCTGAAACTGAACCACCAATAAACCAAATTCATATAACTGACACGAATAACTCAGTGGAAGAGGAAAATCTTATTTGCTCAGGAGATGTACCTGTAGTAACCTCAGAACCGACAATAATCTGTGAATCAAATAATGCAATAGAATCATACGAATTAATACCAGATACAGTTGTGGAAGTACAATGCGAGCAAGTCGAATTAATATCTTCTTCAGCAACAACAGATAATGAAACATGTATTGAACCTGCTTCCGAAGAAAATGTATCTAATGCTGAAGATCTACAGAATTCACCGGAGCTCACTGCATCTGAAATTGAACCACCAATAAACCAAATTCATATAACTGACACGAATAACTCAGTGGAAGAAGAAAATCTTATTTGCTCAGAAGATGTACCTGTAGTAACCTCAGAACCGACAATAATCTGTGAATCAAATAATGCAATAGAATCATACGAATTAATACCAGATACAGTTGTGGAAGTACAATGCGAGCAAGTTGTATTAATATCTTCTTCAGCAACAACAGATAATGAAACATGTATTGAACCTGTTTCCAAGGAAAATGTATCAAACGTTGAAGAACCACAAAATTTACCGGAACTCACTGCATCTGAAACTAAACCATCAATAAACCAAATTGATATAGCTGAAACAAATAACTTAGTGGAAGAAGAAAATCTTATTTGCTCAGAAGATGTACCTGTAGTAACCTCAGAACCGACAATAATCTGTGAATCAAATAATGCAACAGAATCATACGAATTAATACCAGATACAGTTGTGGAAGTACAATGCGAGCAAGTTGTATTAATATCTTCTTTAGCAACAACAGATAATGAAACATGTATTGCACCTCCTTCCGAAGAAAATGTATCTAATGCTGAGGATCTACAGAATTCACCGGAGCTCACTGCATCTGAAACTGAACCACCAATAAACCAAATTCATATAACTGAAACGAATAACTCAGTGGAAGAGGAAAATCTTATTTGCTCAGGAGATGTACCTGTAGTAACCTCAGAACCGACAATAATCTGTGAATCAAATAATGCAATAGAATCATACGAATTAATACCCGATACAGTTGTGGAAGTACAATGCGAGCAAGTTGTATTAATATCTTCTTCAGCAACAACAGATAATGAAACATGTATTGAACCTGTTTCCAAGGAAAATGTATCAAACGTTGAAGAACCACAAAATTTACCGGAACTCACTGCATCTGAAACTAAACCATCAATAAACCAAATTGATATAATTGAAACAAATAACTCAGTGGAAGAAGAGAATCTCATTTGCTCAGAAGATGTACCAGTAGTAACCTCAGAATCGACAATAATCTGTGAATCAAGTAATGCAATAAAATCATATGAATTAATACCAGATACAGTTGTGGAAGTACAATGCGAGCAAGTCGAATTAATATCTTCTTCAGCAACAACAGATAATGAAACATGTATTGAACCTGTTTCCAAGGAAAATGTATCAAACGTTGAAGAACCACAAAATTTACCGGAACTCACTGCATCTGAAACTAAACCATCAATAAACCAAATTGATATAGCTGAAACAAATAACTTAGTGGAAGAAGAAAATCTGATTTGCTCAGAAGATGTACCTGTAGTAACCTCAGAACCGACAATAATCTGTGAATCAAATAATGCAACAGAATCATATGAATTAGCACCAGATAGTGTTGTGGAAGTACAATGCGAGCAAGTTGAATTAATATCTTCTTTAGCAACAACAGATAATGAAACATGTATTGCACCTGCTTCCGAAGAAAATGTATCTAATGTTGAATATCTACAGAATTCACCGGAGCTCACTGCATCTGAAACTGAACCACCAATAAATCAAATTGATATAGGTGACGCAAACTACTCAAGGGAGGAAGAAAATCTTATTTGCTCAGAAGATGTACCTGTAGTAACCTCAGAACCGACAATAATCTGTGAATCAAATAATGCAATAGAATCAAATGAATTAATACCAGATACAGTTGTGGAAGTACAATGCGAGCAAGTCGAATTAGTATCTTCTTTAGCAACAACAGATAATGAAACATGTACTCCACCTGCTTCCGAGGAAAATGTATTAAACGTTGGAGAACTAGAGAGTTCACCGGAGCTCACTGCATCTGAAACTGAACCATCAACAAACCAAATTCATATAACTGAAACGAATAACTCAGTGGAAGAAGAAAATCTTATTTGTTCAGAAGATGTACCTGTAGTAACCTCAGAACCGACAATAATCTGTGAATCAAATAATGCAACAGAATCATATGAATTAATACCAGATACAGTTGTGGAAGTACAATGCGAGCAAGTCGAATTAATATCTTCTTCAGCAACAACAGATAATGAAACATGTATTGAACCTGTTTCCAAGGAAAATGTATCAAACGTTGAAGAACCACAAAATTTACCGGAACTCACTGCATCTGAAACTAAACCATCAATAAACCAAATTGATATAGCTGAAACAAATAACTTAGTGGAAGAAGAAAATCTCATTTGCTCAGAAGATGTACCTGTAGTAACCTCAGAACCGACAATAATCTGTGAATCAAATAATGCAATAGAATCATATGAATTAGCACCAGATAGTGTTGTGGAAGTACAATGCGAGCAAGTTGAATTAATATCTTCTTTAGCAACAACAGATAATGAAACATGTATTGCACCTGCTTCCGAAGAAAATGTATCTAATGTTGAAGATCTACAGAATTCACCGGAGCTCACTGCATCTGAAACTGAACCACCAATAAATCAAATTGATATAGGTGACGCAAACTACTCAAGGGAGGAAGAAAATCTTATTTGCTCAGAAGATGTACCTGTAGTAACCTCAGAACCGACAATAATCTGTGAATCAAATAATGCAATAGAATCAAATGAATTAATACCAGATACAGTTGTGGAAGTACAATGCGAGCAAGTTGAATTAGTATCTTCTTTAGCAACAACAGATAATGAAACATGTACTCCACCTGCTTCCGAGGAAAATGTATTAAACGTTGAAGAACTAGAGAGTTCACCGGAGCTCACTGCATCTGAAACTGAACCATCAACAAACCAAATTCATATAACTGAAACGAATAACTCAGTGGAAGAAGAGAATCTTATTTGCTCAGAAGATGTACCTGTAGTAACCTCAGAACCGACAATAATCTGTGAATCAAGTGAATTAGTTACAGATACAGTTGTGGAAGTACAATGCGAGCAAGTCGAATTAGTATCTTCTTTAGCAACAACAGATAATGAAACATGTACTCCACCTGCTTTCGAGGAAAATGTATTAAACGTTGAAGAACTAGAGAGTTCACCGGAGCTCACTGCATCTGAAACTGAACCATCAACAAACCAAATTCATATAACTGAAACGAATAACTCAGTGGAAGAAGAGAATCTTATTTGCTCAGAAGATGTACTTGTAGTAACCTCCGAAGCGACAATATTATGTGAAGAAAACAACACAATAGAATCAAATGAATTAGTATCAGATACAGTTGTGGAAACACAATGCGAGCAAGTCGAATTAGTTTCTTCTGAAGCAACAACAGATAATAACACATGTAGTGTACCTGCTTCCGAGGAAAATGTATTAAACGTTGAAGAACCACAAAATTTACCGGAACTCACTGCATCTGAAACTAAACCATCAATAAACCAAATTGATATAGCTGAAACAAATAACTTAGTGGAAGAAGAAAATCTTATTTGCTCAGAAGATGCACCTGTAGTAACTTCCGACCCGACAGTAATCTGTGAAGAAAACAACACAACAGAATTAAATGAATTAGTATCAGATACAGTTGTAGAAGTACAATGTGAAGAAATCAAATTAGTTTCTTCTGAAGCAACAACAGATAATGAAACATGTATTGCATCTGCTTCCGAAGAAAATGTATCTAATGTTGAAGAACAACAAAATCTACCGGAGCTCACTGCATCTGAAACTAAACCATCAATAAACCAAATTGATATAGCTGAAACAAATAACTTAGTGGAAGAAGAAAATCTGATTTGCTCAGAAAATGCACCTGTAGTACCTTCCGACCCGACAGTAATCTATGAAGAAAACAACACAACAGAATTAAATGAATTAGTATCAGATACAGTTGTGGAAGTACAATGTGAAGAAATCGAATTAGTTTCTTCTGAAGCAACAACAAATAATGAAACATGTATTGTACCTGCTTCCGATGAAAATGTATCTAATGCTGAAGATCTACAGAATTCACCGGAGCTCACTGCATCTGAAACTGAACCACCAATAAACCAAATTCAAATAACTGAAACGAATAACTTAGTGGAAGAAGAAAATCTTATTTGCTCAGAAGATGTACCTGTAGTAACCTCAGAATCGACAATAATCTGTGGATCAAATAATGCAACAGAATCATATGAATTAGCACCAGATAGTGTTGTGGAAGTACAATGCGAGCAAGTTGAATTAATATCTTCTTCAGCAACAACAGATAATGAAACATGTGTTGCACCTCCTTCCGAAGAAAATGTATCTAATGCTGAAGATCTACAGAATTCACCGGAGCTCACTGCATCTGAAACTGAACCACCAATAAACCAAATTCATATAACTGACACGAATAACTCAGTGGAAGAGGAAAATCTTATTTGCTCAGGAGATGTACCTGTAGTAACCTCAGAACCGACAATAATCTGTGAATCAAATAATGCAATAGAATCATACGAATTAATACCAGATACAGTTGTGGAAGTACAATGCGAGCAAGTCGAATTAATATCTTCTTCAGCAACAACAGATAATGAAACATGTATTGAACCTCCTTCCGAAGAAAATGTATCTAATGCTGAAGATCTACAGAATTCACCGGAGCTCACTGTATCTGAAACTGAAACACCAATAAACCAAATTTATATAGGTGACGCAAACTCCTCAAGGGAGGAAGAAAATCTTATTTGCTCAGAAGATGTACCTGTAGTAACCTCAGAACCGACAATAATCTGTGAATCAAATAATGTAACAGAATCAAATGAATTAGTATCAGATACAGTTGTGGAAGTACAATGTGAAGAAATCGAATTAGTTTCTTCTGAAGCAACAACAGATAATGAAACATGTATTGAACCTGTTTCCGAGGAAAATATATCAAACGTTGAAGAACCACAAAATTTACCGGAACTCACTACATCTGAAACTAAACCATCAATAAACGAAATTGATATAGCTGAAACAAATAACTTAGTGGAAGAAGAAAATCTTATTTGCTCAGAAGATGCACCTGTAGTAACTTCCGACCCGACAATAATCTGTGAATCAAATAATGTAACAGAATCAAATGAATTAGTATCAGATACAGTTGTGGAAGTACAATGTGAAGAAATCGAATTAGTTTCTTCTGAAGCAACAACAAATAATGAAACATGTATTGCACCTGCTTCCGAAGAAAATGTATCTAATGCTGAAGAGCTACAGAATTCACCGGAGCTCACTGCATCTGAAACTGAACCACCAATAAACCAAATTCATATAACTGAAACGAATAACTCAGTGGAAGAAGAAAATCTCATTTGCTCAGAAGATGTACCTGTAGTAACCTCAGAACCGACAATAATCTGTGAATCAGATGAATTAGTTACAGATACAGTTGTGGAAGTACAATGCGAGCAAGTCGAATTAATATCTTCTTTAGCAAAAACAGATAATGACACATGTATTGAACCTGCTTCTGAGGAAAATGTATTAAACGTTAAAGAACTACAGAATTCACCGGAGCTCACTGCATCTGAAATTGAACCACCAATAAACCAAATTCATATAACTGAAACAAATAACTCAGTGGAAGAAGAGAATCTCATTTGCTCAGAAGATGTACCTGTAGTAACCTCAGAACCGACAATAATATCTGAATCAAATGAATTAGTACCAGATACAGTTCCGGAAGTACAATGTGAAGAAATTGGATTAGTATCTTCTTTAGCAGCAACAGATAATGAAACATTTATTGAACCTGTTTCCAAGGAAAATGTATTAAACGTTGAAGAACTAGAGAGTTCACCGGAGCTCACTGTATCTGAAACTGAACCATCAATATACCAAATTCAAATAACTGAAACGAATAACTCAGTAGAAGAAGAGAATCTTATTTGCTCAGAAGATGTACCTGTAGTAACCTCAGAACCGACAATAATCTGTGAATCAAATAATACGAAAGAATCAAATGAATTAGTATCAGATACAGTTGTGGAAGTACAATGCGAGCAAGTTGAATTAGTATCTTCTTTAGTAACGACAGATAATGAAACATGTATTGCACTTGCTTCCGAAGAAAATGTATCTAATGCTGAAGATCTACAGAATTCACCGGAGCTCACTGCATCTGAAACTGAACCACCAATAAACCAATTTCATATAACTGAAAGGAATAACTCAGTGGAAGAAGAAAATTTTTTTTGCTCAGAAGATGTACCTGTAGTAACCTCAGAACCGACAATAATCTGTGAATCAAATGAATTAGTACCAGATACAGTTCCGGAAGTGCAATGTGAAAAAATTGAATTAGTATCTTCTTTAGCAGCAACAGATAATGAAACATGTATTGAACCTGTTTCCGAGGAAAATGTATTAAACGTTGAAGATCTACAGGATCCACCGGAGCTCACTGTATCTGAAACTGAACCATCAATAAACCAAATTCAAATAACTGAAACGAATAACTCAGTAGAAGAAGAGAATCTTATTTGCTCAGAAGATGTACCTGTAGTAACTTTTGAAGCGACAATAATATGTGAAGAAAACAACACAATAGAATCAAATGAATTAGTATCAGATACAGTTGTGGAAGTACTATCTGAAGAAGTCGAATTAGTATCTTCTTTACCAACAACAGATAATGAAACATGTACTCCACCTGCTTCCGAGGAAAATGTATCTAACATTGAAGAACCACAAAATTCACCGGAGCTCATTGCATCTGAAACTGAACTATCAATAAACCAAATTGATATAGCTGAAACGAATAACTCAGTGGAAGAAGAGAATCTTATTTGCTCAGAAGATGTACCTGTAGTAACCTCTGAACCGACAATAATCTGTAAAGAAAACAACACAATAGAATCAAATGAATTAGTATCAGATACAGTTGTGGAAGTACAATGTGAAGAAATCGAATTATTATCTTCTTTTCCAACAACAGATAATGAAATATGTATTGCTCCTGCTCCTAAAGAAAACGTATCTAATGCTGAAGATCTACAGAATTCATCGGACCTCACAGCATCTGAAACTAAACCATCAATAAACGAAATTGATGTAGCTGCATCAAATGACTCAGTGGAAAAAGAGAATCTTATTTTCTCAGAAGATATACCTATAGTAACCCCTGAATCAACAATAATATGTGAATCAAATGAATTAGTTACAGATACAGTTGTGGAAGTACAATGCGAGCAAGTCGATTTGGTATCTTCTTTAGCAACAACAGATAATGAAACATGTATTGCAATTGCTTCCCAGGAAAATATATCTTTTGTTAAAGAATTACAAAATTCACCGGAGCTCAATGTTACTGAAACTGAACCATCAACAAA